TCCTTTAAGCTCATTGGTAGAAGGGACACATGCGACTACATACATAGTATGATCCAGAAATGGCTGCCTGGTCCCTCCCAGAGGAGGAGAATTGAAAATATTAATGAGTTGATAATGGGGAAAGTTCACTTCAGAGCAGATCGAGGCGAACAGAACTGGCTTCGGCCAGCCTGCTTGTGGGAACCTCTGGGGGTTAGGCTCTTCCTGTAACTTTCCATGTGCAGACACTCAACAGACAATGTTAGTTTTTTATCGGATCCTCTGTACCCCTTTCTTTGCCTAGTTCCCTGGTCACCGTATCTGTCTGTGTACCTATTTGGCAAAAACTGTCAGACTACAGTTGTCAACAAACATCAAAATGGAGAGAGACTGATCATTGTCATGTGGGGACGGTGAGCCGAAGAGTTGAAAGAAAGATTTCTTGGACTCTCAAGGTCTGGCAGTAGTGCACTTTTGTTTAGAGAATAGTGTGGAATAGCATGGGGACAGGACCCATGGGCAGTCAGAGCTGCTGCTGCCATGTGTTCAGGGCTAGGGCTAAATTTATAAGGCATGGGTACATGCCTTATTTTTACTAGACAGAGAAAAGATGATGTAAAAAGTCATTAAATGGTTTCAGTGCAGATGGGGTCTGGTTATTGTGCGGTCGTATAACTTTAGATAGGAATCTGGTCATATAGACCAGCATGTAGGCCAGGATGCCCTGGGTTCTCTCCCTGGGGCAGCCTTAATCCACACCATAAAATCCATCGCATCATATAAATCAGCATGTAGGCCAGGACACCTTGGGCTTTTCCACCTGGGGCAGCCTTGATCCACATCATAAATCCCCCCCTGAACCCACTTGGCCCCAAAATCTCTTGGGGATATGGATGATGGTAAATCTTCTGTAACTACTTCTGGCTGTACAAGGTCGTAGAGCTGTCCCTAAATGGGGCCATAGGTACAGGCAGGAAGTTCAGAGGACCGGAAGGCTGCACCCGTGGAGTCCAAGGCTGACAAGGTACACGGATCCTCTGGAGACGAGAGAGTCATTTGACGAGAGGTGGTCCAGGAAGTGAAACTTTGTTGACATGTGGAGGACAAGCAACGAAATAGACAGCAAATTATAATAAGAAATACAAGCAATATGATTAATGCAATGAATGAGGCTTTGATAGTAGTCCAGAGACCTGGTCCTGACCAGGAGTTCAAACAATCATTTAGAGATAGGGTAGGGTCACACATGGATTTAATTTGGTGGCTCATATCTGATAGGAAGCCAGAGATATTTTGATGGTAGTCAGGAATATAGACACAACATTCAGTTTTTATAATGGCACAAGTGCCCCCCTGTGCTGCTGTCAAGACATCCAGTGCCATTCGGTTTTGGAGGACTGCCTTACGCATTTGGGATACTTCTAAATTGAGCAGCAAAAGGCTATGTTGTTTACCATTTCATGCCTTCATAGTAAATTTGTTTAGAGCTTCCATGTGCCAGATGACACTTTCATTTCCTAATTGGGGAAGGAAAATTGAGGCAAGGTGATCATACCAGTGGAAGACAGATCATGTTCAGTGCTGTTACGGGTTGGGTAGGTTAGCAGGAGGAGATATAGTAAATGTAGCTCTACCTTGCATCCAGACGAAGCCTAGGGTGCATGATCCAATCCATCCAGGTAGCAGCCAAGGCCATAAGTTGGAGTCACATAGCCACTGAGTGCCATTAAGAGGTAACCAATGTATGCTGGGCCGCCTATCCCAGGCAGTCCCAAACCAATCAGTATTTTTTTAAGGCTATGATATGAGAACACATATAACAGGAAATTTTCCCCATAGGTCGGGTGTTATTGGGCCACGTATCACAGGTGTGATTGGTTTGTTCCCAACATAGAGTGGCCTTTTGACTGAGTTGACCACTACTAGGAGTGAGCCAAATATATTCATCCCAAATTTGATATAGTCCGTCCTGTGTGTATCAATAGGTGCTGGGGTCCAGCCTCGGCAGAGTCCAGGTTCCCGCGGGAGAGACGGCGTCGTCGAAAGTGCAAGTGCAAGACGTGACTCGATGCAGTTGCAAACAAGTACAATTTATTTCGGGGACGGGGCATACATATATAGTGAAAAATTATGTGAGGTGGTCTGACTATTGTCGTCATAAGATCAATAGGTGGGGGGTAGTGCATAACTAAAGATAATTATTTTCCTACATGCGAGGGCTGTTATCCAAAGACCATATGTGCAGCAAGCATAGGTATCAATTGTTAGGGAAGAGGTTATATAGTTTCAAGGTCTTCAAAGAAGCTAGGAGGACCGTGAGTATATAATTAACGGAACACAGACTCCCTCATCCTTAGGGGTAGCTCATTACTTTTAGAGATATGGTTCTGCCTGTTTCCACAAGGTTTCCAGAGCAGAGAGGAAGACATTAATCAATGATAGGCTTTGAAGTAAGGAGTTCAGAAAGGAGGACGAAGGATTCTGCCTAAAGAATTGCGTTCCCTGGAGAAGTGCCTTGCACGATTCTCCTTCCATTGCCAGACCTTGTCACAATGCAATGGTAACTAGAGTGGGGGAATGCTTCCCACAGATAGGTTGGGGACTTTGCCTTTGGAACTTGTTATTTATGATCCACCTGTGACAAGGCAAATCTAGTTAGTATTTGGGCAGTACTATTGAAGGAAAAGGTTTGATTGTGGCCAGGGAACTCCCAGGTATCAGAGATGGATGGCCACAAGGAGACATTATGATTAGTAACAGATGAATCTTGTAGAAGAAAAGAGTTAGAATCTAATATCCATGAATGTGTACTATAGCTTCTACTGAAACATTATTTTTTCTCTCTAAAACCACCCTCATTTTTACAAAAGATAGCCAAATTAAGATTAACTGGTTTGCAAAATAAATGTAGTTTCAACACAACTTCGTCCAATTATTTACATAAGTGCAACAAGGATAGCAACTAATTATACAGGCTCTTTGAAACCTGCTTTGCTGGAATTTTTTTTTTTTTATGAGGAATCTCAGATTGAACTGTAAAGGCCTCTTGACACCAGAAAAGCCAAGCCAAGGACTTGCCATCAGATTTTGCCTGCAATACCTACAGGTTTGGATGGACGCCTCTCTTCTCGAGGTCACCCAAAATATTCTGAGGTTCCTTGCACCTGCCAGATGAGCAATCTTCCTTACTTACCAGGCAAGATTGCCAGAATCTCTGTAAACAAGGTACCAGGCCCATATTTCCAAGTGGCTTTATTTCCAGAGAGTCCAATCTTTGTTCCTGAAAAGCTCTCTTGTCATATCTGAGCCTGTATGTTTCTCTCAAATATGACATTCCAGTCAAAGCTTTGGTAAGATAACCAATGTGTCCTGTTATAAGGAGACCAAATTCTTAGTGAACTTATGCAAATAACTATATTTCCACGAAATAACCATACTCACAAAGAGTTTCCAAATTCTGGAGGGATTGGGTAGGGAGAAAAAGCTAAATGTTTCAGTTTTGCTCATAAAGGTATAATTTCACTAAATTGTTGTGTCTTGGTTACCATAAGAGAACAGAGAAAAAGATTTCCTTAAATCTGAGAAAACAAAACAACCCATCAAAACTCAACAATATTTCAAACAGAAGTCATAAAAGAAATTATAATCATCCTCATCAGTTCACACAGTCCTGTCTAATCAATTCTAGAGCTTAATCTTCTGTTAGCAGATCTATGAGCTCAGTTTCTCCGTTAGAATTCTATAATTTCTTACCCAGTTCAGTTTTACAATCTGAAAGTTTATCAGAAACCTGTAGTTTAGAATCTTGTGTCAGATTCCTTTCCAGGAATTTCTCTGAAGATGAAACATATTTGCAAAAACAAAAAGGATCAGAGTAAAACAGCAACTATCTGCAAATGACAAAAGACTCAAAAGGGCAAATGAGAAATAAACTTGGCTACTTCTGTGATCGGACCCTACCCTATCCCTAAATGATAGGTTGGACTCCTGGTCAGGACCAGGTCTCTGGACTACTATCAAAGCCTCATTCATTGCGTTAATCATATTGCTTGTATTTCTTATTATAATTTGCTGTCTATTTCGTTGTTTGTCCTCCGCATGTCAACAAAGTTTCACTTCCTGGACCACCTCTCGTCAAATGACTCTCTCGTCTCCAGAGGATCCGTGTACCTTGTCAGCCTTGGACTCCACGGGTGCAGCCTTCCGGTCCTCTGAACTTCCTGCCTGTACCTATGGCCCCATTTAGGGACAGCTCTACGACCTTGTACAGCCAGAAGTAGTTACAGAAGATTTACCATCATCCATATCCCCAAGAGATTTTGGGGCCAAGTGGGTTCAGGGGGGGATTTATGATGTGGATCAAGGCTGCCCCAGGTGGAAAAGCCCAAGGTGTCCTGGCCTACATGCTGATTTATATGATGCGATGGATTTTATGGTGTGGATTAAGGCTGCCCCAGGGAGAGAACCCAGGGCATCCTGGCCTACATGCTGGTCTATATGACCAGATTCCTATCTAAAGTTATACGACCGCACAATAACCAGACCCCATCTGCACTGAAACCATTTAATGACTTTTTACATCATCTTTTCTCTGTCTAGTAAAAATAAGGCATGTACCCATGCCTTATAAATTTAGCCCTAGCCCTGAACACATGGCAGCAGCAGCTCTGACTGCCCATGGGTCCTGTCCCCATGCTATTCCACACTATTCTCTAAACAAAAGTGCACTACTGCCAGACCTTGAGAGTCCAAGAAAACTTTCTTTCTACTCTTCCGTTCTCCATTCCCGCATCAATTGCATATGGTGAGGTGACCTTCAACTGTGTGTTTTTATAAACAAGGATCGCAGTCCCAGAAGTCCCCTCCCAGCACTACCTTTCAATGCGAAAGGCCCTGCAGACAACGAATTCTGTCTGGCATTCTGCTCAGACACCTAAACTCAGGGGCTGTCACTCAGACAGACGAGGGTGAGTCTTTTGAATTGTCCAATCAGACGAGGCGCCTGGGTAGGTGGGTGGGGCGAAGTGCCCCAACCCCCGGAAGTAGCTGCTGCTCCGGCGGCGCTGGGGACCGCGTCTCCCCGCCATTAAACCCTTTACTTGGCCCTGCCGCATGTTCTGTCGAGTTGTGGCCTGTAGCGACCGCATTGTCCTAGGAAGGACTCGGGGGATCCAGGAGCCCTGGAAATGGTGAGTGTGCGGCCCCGGGGTGAGGACGCGGGAGGAGAGGCTGGTGGGAAGCGGGGGGCGGGCCTGACCTCCCGCGGTCCCCTCCGGGGTCTGCGGCCCCGAGTCCGCGGCGGGGCGGGCAGCCGGGCCCCGGGCGTCCTGTGGTCCCTGCGCGCGGCGACTTGGGCCGGAGCGTCTCTGGGCCGCTGTGCGCCCGCAGCCCCGCATGTCCCAGACGGTGCGGGGCCCGCAGGACAGTCGGGCCTCGGTCTCCGGGGTCCGTGCGCGGAGGGGCTGCGGTCTGTGGGGGTCCCCAGGGCCTCATTTCTCCTCGGAGGGGACCCGTTTTCTCCTGAGTTTTCCAAATGTTTGGGGAGCAGCGCCTCAATCCACAGTCCTTTCCCCACAGGCTGCTCTTCCTGGGCCTAACAGTAAATCCGTACATTTTCAGATGCCTCCCCGCACTCCCAAAGCCATTTCTCCTCTTTCATTCACGGATCCTTATCAACACTTTGTCCTCCATGGCGCATTTCAAACAGACTCGATATTTTAAATGCTTATCATTATGCCCCAGAGCCCTGGATGACTCTATTTTCGAGATTATGTTTGTCTGTGGCTATTTTACATGAGAGGAAAGCAGAGAATAAGCACTGGGAACTACACTGTAGGAAATCCTGGTGCCTCTCCCCGGGATCATCTAGGCCCAGACATCCTATGGCAAATCCTTTTGTTGCGGGGTCGGTGAGCCGAGGAGTGAAAAGAAAGGTTTCTTGGACTTTCAAGGTCTGGCAGTGGTGCTCTTTTATTTAGAGAACAGTACGGAATAGCATGGGGACAGGACCCATGGGCAGTGAAGAGCTGTAGGCATGGGGACAGGACCCATGGGCAGTGAAGAGCTGTAGGCATGGGGACAGGACCCATGGGCAGTGAAGAGCTGTAGGCATGGGGACAGGACCCGTGGGCAGTCAGAGCTCCTGCTGCTGCCCTGAGTTGAGGGTTAGGGCTAATTTTTTAAGGCATGGATACGTGACTTATTTTTACTGGAAAAAGAAAAGATGATGTAAAAAGTCATTAAATGATTTCAGTGCAGATGGGGTTTGGTTATTGTGCGGTCATATAACTTTAGACACGAATCTGGCCATATAGATCGGTATGTAGGTGAGGATGACCCGGGCTTCTCTCCCTGGGGCAGTCCTAATTCATACCATAAAAAAAGTCCACTGGGTCATATAGTTTGGCATGTAGGCCAGGTCACTTTGGGCTTCTCTAGCTGGGGCAGCCTTAATCCACATCACTTTGGGTGGGGATTCCCCTTGGAAAAATGTCCTGAGTGATCAGTTCCATTGGCATTGCCACACCCCGCCCAGGTTTGTGAACGAGAAAAAATTATTCACTGATTTAAGTGTCCGTTTTGCAAGAAGGGTAAATGTATCTAGTTAGTAGAGCTTGAAAGACACTATAAAATAGTTCCAGAGAGGCAACAAAGAGGTGAATTTCAGAAAAAATATAACATTCCTTTGTTACGTTCCATTTTTTAAGAATACTTATTTCACTCTCTCTTCCCTTGAATGTCTGTCATTAGTTTCTGAGGTGTGTTCCTTACTTTTGGGTGCTTCCAGGGCTGAGACACGCAAACCACAAGTGTTCAAGTATGATTTCTTGTCATGGAAATAATGTCACCACCGGCCTAGGAACAGACTTGTCATCCCAAATGATGCGTCTTTGGTATAAGGGCTATTTTGAGCTGATGATTATTAAAAAAAAGCAGCCACAGGCAAAGCTCTGAAAACCTAGTAGAAGTTACCCTTTTGTAAGGTCAGTTTACATTCTAAGAGAAACGTCCCTTTGTAAGGGTGCCTCCCTCTGTGTGCCAGGAAGGGCAGGATGACTCTGCATCTCTAGAAACTCTTACCAGTGGAGAAGGCAAGGAGTTAAATCTGCAGGACAACTTGCCCCTTGTTCACTGTGCTTTTCCTGCTGACATCCCGTCACTAACCCCATCTTAACAGCAGGATGTTAGAGCTCTTTGTCACAGGAGGTGGCCAGCCAGGAGCCTGTGCGGGAGAGAAAGTTTTGATCTGCCAGTCAGACCTCTCCCTGCCAGGTCTTTGCATCCCAGCTGGCCCTCCCTGCTCCCTTAAGCCTCAGCCCATGCTCTGGATGAGGGAGACGGAGTTGAGAGCCTGTCCTCCTGTCTCCTTGCCAATCGATGGCACAGTCAACTGTTTCATCTTTCAAAGCCTGGTGTGCCGTGGTCTCAGCTTCTGTGTGCATCACGTGGTGAGCCCTCGCTCAGTAACAGTAGCAACTCACATTTTTTCTTAAAATAATATACATTTGTGCTTTTCTAGTTGAAGCGGTAGAAATACCGTATAATATTTTCCCTTATTTTCTGTGGAAGGACTGCGTTTAAGTGATTTTGCTGGATTATTCCAACACTGGGTTTGTGTGATTTAAAATAACAATGATGTTCCAGAGCATCTCCAGTGGGGAGCAGAGGCCCCCAGTCCAAGACCAAAGCTAAGGCCCCCTTGAGCCTGCAGAGGGAAGGCCTTGCGGGCCCAGTTGTTCTTCCTGGGGAGCCACCCCCGCAGGTGTGCTACTGCTCACACCCCCACGGAAGGAGCCTTTATCCTGAGAGGAGCTGCAGAGCCCTGGAAAGCTGGGGGTGCATGTGCCCATGGGGTGGGGAGTGACACCCTTTCTGAGGTTGTGGTTGTGTCTGGACATTTTAGACATCGTTTGAGTTTTGCTTTGGCACTTAGGTGCACTGAGAGTGTAATCTGTGCACAGTGAGAAAGTCTTTGAAGATCAGGTGTTCTGTCCTGTGGACAAAGAGTTCATGAATTTGGAGTTCATGTGGGTCTGAAGCTTAGACTGAATCCTGCTGAGAGTTTCCTCACTTGTGAGAGTGGGAGCCCGGGGAAGGCAGTGCGTCCGTGCTCACAGGAGAGGGAGGGTGTGTGGGGCTCCCAGAGTCCATTCCTGTGGCTGCTCAAGGGTCTCCACCCTCCTTCACCAGGGCCTGACCCTCTCCAGGGGATCTGTGTCCACTCAGAGAGTCTACACCTCAAGTCTGGGAATATGGTCCCTTTCTGAGTGTGGGTTTCCTTCTGAACTGCAGGCCAGCAGGCTGCTTCTGTGAGCTGAGTGGAATATTCCTGTTTCTGTCCTCGGGTTCCTTGATCAGTTGAAGATTACAATCCTCTGATTCTAGTCTCCATTTGCACTTGGGGTTTTGAAAATGTTATTTCAGAGATATGATGTGATCAAGGCAAGAAAATTGTGGACACAAACAGTTTTTTTCCATTTAGACAAGAGAACGTCAAGATGTGAGATGGGTGTATTTCAATTCTCAGGTGCATTTTCCATGTTTAGGTCAGTTTTGTGTGTTCTTGTCCCTAGAGAACTGTGACATTTAAAAGGCTGAACTATTCCTGAGGCAAATGAATTGCATTTATTTTCTTATTGTTTGTGTGTGTGTGTGTGAGAGGAAGATTGTCACTAGCTACTGTGTGTGCCCATCTTCCTCCATTTTATGTGGGATGCTGCCACAGCATGGCTTCACGAGCAGTGGTAGGTCCACACCTGGGATCCAAACATGGGAAGCCCAGGGCGCTGAAGCAGAGCAAAGTGAACTTAACCACTATGCCACCGGGCCAGCCCCTGAATTCTGTTTTAATAGGTGTAGGGAAGAGGCAGTTGAATTTCTGTTTTCATTGATCTGAGGAATCAGATCGAAGCTTGTGTAAATCTTTGGAATTCCTAGTTCACTCAGGGCTTCATTGCAAACCCCTAAGGTATTGTGATATGCTACTCCTTCCAAAAAGCATTCCCAGGGTAAATATACTGGAGGCAGAAACCAAAATGCCCCTTGTCTTTTTTGGTAGAAAGAGATTGGTAAATTTTTTATGGTTTATAGTTGTGTGTCCATTAGTGTTTAAAGGATTAAATCTTGGAATGGTTTCCTATGTAGAAATGTTAAAACTAAAAGTTATTTAAAAATGGTGATCAAACATGGGAAAATATGGCATAAATAAATCTCTCCTTATGTTATTTTATGTTTTTGAGGAAGATGCTCCCTGAGCTGAGATCTGTGCTCATCTTCCTCTATTTTATGTGTGGGATGCCTGCCTCAGCCTGGCATGGTAAGAGGTGTGTAGGTCCACGACCAGGATCCAAACTGGTGAGTTCCAGGCCTCTGAAGCAGAGCACGTGCCCTTAACCACTGTACCACTGGGCCAGCCCGTGTCTCCCCTTATTTTAAATAAATACTGCGTGGGAAGGTTTAAAAAATTTGTAAGAGAGGAAACTGCCTGAAGGAGACTCCCTGCCTGCAATCCTGCCCCACTCCTGCTTGGACTCCAGCCTCCCTACATGACCAGTTTTGCTCACTGCCTCACCATGCTGTTAGCATTTCTTTATATGAAAACTACCAATGCGAATGCCTATTTTTGTCCCCCAAGTTTGTTCTTGTAATGAATGGGAGGGTTTGGTACTGATGATGTTTGATGACTGAACACTTAAGCCTCACCCTCCCTTTCCCCTGGGCCTTCTTCCCTGGACGGGCTGATGAGAAAGCCTGGAGGCTCCTGCACTGTGGGCTGCTGCTTGCTGGGCAGCTCCTCCTGGGCGCTGTGCTGGCCTCGGTTGCACTGTTAACCCACCAAGCAGGAGTCACCTTGACATTAGGGGGAGTCTGCGGTTATGAGGATGATTGTACACTGTCACCGAGCTGAGGCCATCCGATGGTCAATCCTTCAAGAGCAATTATTTCAGAGAGAAAGAAGGGACAGGAAGGTGCAGCCTGTAGGAAGCAGGATTCCAGAGGGCTCCCCAGTGCCCCTAAGTCACTCGGCTGCTTCTCCCAGACCTGTACCTGTTGCAACAAAGATCCCGACCCTCTGGGTTATAGTGGACCACACCACAGTCTGAGTTTGGCCCAGTGAAGAGATTAATTCAACCCAACTTAAGCCCAGGCACCTGAAACTCTATAAAGCAACCGGTTGTCTTGCCCCTTT